CATTTAGAGAAGCAGAAAGTAGCGTAATGCGCCTGCAATATGCTATAGTTCACCGATATTAGCACCGATCTGCTAAGGCGCAAGAAGCCGTTCAAAGGGCCTTTTAATCATTTTCCGCTCCGATTCAATACTTGTACTTTTACATTTTATATGCCTCTAATTATTTATTATTGGCGAGCTAATTATTTTCAATCCTGCGACAAATCTGATGAAGAAAAAAGAAGAAAAAAGACATCGAGAGATCTTCGCATGGAGTGCGACATAGCATAATACTTCTCATGGAATAGAAGAAATTCTGAAGGCGAATGAAACCGATTGCCCTTAAGCCGAACGAGCGAAATTACAGAGAAAACGAATGTCGGCGGCGTGCGGTCTCGTGAAAGCTTCAACTTGGAGCGCGCCTCGCGCGCTATATACATTACAACGATGAGCTTTTTTCCGTATACTCTCAAAGAGCGCGTGGCGCAAACCAGCAGCGACAGCAGTCTTAGCGGCGGCGGGCGCGGGCGATCTTTTATGAGAGAAAATTTTACTACTGCGGTCGCAACCTGGAATATATCCGCAAATTATGCAGAGAGCCACAATGACGTTTTCACTTTTTAAAAGAGGATGAAAGAAAAGCAAATGGGAGATTCAAATCCAATGACAGGTGGTAATGTATTTTCATGATATACTGTGATGTTTACAGCATTAAATCATCAAATCATGCTGAAATTTTTTCTTTATTTTGATTGCAGTGAAATCGTTAATAAGTTAATTTTTGAACACTGTTAAAAATATATACATTTTAATTGATGTAAAAGCGGAGGAAGTTTTTTTTGCGTAGATAATTTCGTATGAAATCATTAAAATAATTGTGATTTGAACTTCGTAAAGGATTTACATAAATATTATTAATTTGGCACACTATTGCAGAGCACACAAGTGAATAATGATCTCACATTTGCTTGATTTATATCATTATTTTTACTTTCCACTTGCAGATTTACAGATTAAGGTATTCGCCATCTAGTGGTGAAAGATTTCATTATTATTGAATTACCATCGATTTTTTCAGCAACAAACGGTTAAACTAAATCGATTTTAAAATACGAATTTTTAATCAAAATATTTAAATTTTAATATATGGAATTAATTTTTTTTTGTTTACGTTTAGATTAAAATGATTTATATGATTGCATTTTCATAAAATTTTGTACAGTTTATGTAAAAAAAAATTAGTTCTTATGAATTCAATTTCAATGAAGGTTTCATTGAAAGTACCATAAATGAAATTCTTTAATTTTAATTTCTGATATGGAATTAAATCTGTATTAAACTGAAGTTTTTTTTAACAGTGTTCTTTTCAAGTGTATAAAGTAATGAGTTACCAATTTTAATAAGTTTTGATTTAAAATATGAAACACTGCACCTACCCAACATGATAAATGAATGAGCATGAGTTTGAGACTTATTTTGCTCGTTATATTTGTTCAATAATGCAGTTTAGTTTGTTCAGCTTACACATTGCATCTCAATAAATTCCAAATATTTTAAAGGCAAATCAAAAGATGAAAAAATTGCTCAACTACCTGATCGGCATTACTATCGAGCATACAACACATTACGCACGTAAAAGATAAAAGGAATTTACATGCACGTAACTAGCAATGATCTGCCTCGGAATTTTCACACCTTCTTGCCGTCGAGTAAATACGTTTAAACGCAAGATTTCAATCTGAATTTGCCCGCAGCAATAAAGCGTCGACGCGACGAAACCACGCTCCTTTCGATTTTCGTAATTGCATGTAAATTTTCTTCGATTCTATCGCGCGCCACGAGATAAACTAATGACGTCTTCTAGCATTTAAAAAAAATATTTAAAAGTAAGTGTGTTATTTCTTTTTCTCTTCTTCAATCAAGCGTATATACATGAGAGAGGATGATATCTATCTCTTTAAAACCTGTACTTACATAACTTGCATAACGCATACGTAAAGTGAATTTGTATAGAAGCGAGCGCGCGAGCCTTTATTATTTAATTTATGCCGCAGGCATCGATCAAACAAAACACGTGATGTACGCAATATTAGTCTTGATGTACTATTTAATAATAAACACTTCCTGTCGATATACAACCCATGCAAGCTCAAAAATGTCGGATAAATTCGAAGAAATCAGCGTAAACATTTATTATACAACCTGGAGAGATAGCTGGGCTAACCACATAATCTCGAGTAATTACCCGCTGTTGCAACTCTCGTTGCCAACAAAAACATACTCCATCGGCAATTTGTATGTAAATTGTATAATCATATTAGAGTAAATGAAAAGTTAAAAAAAACGAGTTATTAAATTTACATCGTATGGATATCGATTGGCCTGCGCAGACACAACGCGCAGTTTTAATTGTTTGCATTATAGGCTAACGCGCATAGACGGCCTCGGGCTAGACTATCAACTATATAAGCCGGGCGTGACACTTTGGCACCAGGCAATTTAATTCTATCATTTTTATCCACGATTTATGCGCTAATAGAGATTGATCCGGCTGCTGCAGCTTACGGAGTCGAACGAACGCACGACGATGACTACGCTATATATAATACCGCTTCGAAGATTCCAGGCTCGTTGGACGCCTGCGCGCGAGCTTCAATTAAGAAGCTTCTCTCGAGGTGGTGATAATCGTTTGTTTCGAAGGACTCGCTGTATGCTGGGCTAGGGGCAATTAGAGCGTCGATTTCTCCAGGGTGTTATGTGCACGAACGCGATGCATATAATACGCATGGTGTAGTATACACCCGGTGCGTGTATTACTGTTATTGAAACGAATTACTCTTGCGAGGATTTTTCACAAAATATGTACTGCATTGCAACACTGCATATAATGTACCGCAAAATGCGCACTGCACTGCAATACGCGGATGCGCGCGGAAAAAAAATTCATCAAAGCATCTCGTGCGCATAAAAACAATATATCGATACCAATAATGATGCAGCGCAAAACGTAAAATAGTCAAGAATTTAAAATAATACCGGCGCCCGCGGCAAGTACGTACGTGTATACATACAATTTAAGTGCACACAAAGATGCGATGCAACGGCAACGGCAGCAAGAACGAGCCTGTAATCTCGAACACGCGATAATGCGAGTGCGATCTTGAGGTTAATAAAGCTAAACAGGTGCAGCAGCAGCAGCAGCAGTAACAGCAGCGGTGGCGGCGGCAAATTCAAGAGAGAAAGAGGAAGGCTTTACGACTCGTAAATCACAATCACGACGCGTAATTAAGCCTATACTTCCTCGAGCCTAGCCCACTACTATCAACCCCCATTGAAGAAGTGTACGCGCGTCCACTTCGATGGTAGTAGTAGTAGCAGCAGAAGCAGCAGCTGAAGCAGCAACGGAGTAAGCGAATGGCCCCTCGGGGTCTTGTTCAAGGGTTAGGCGGGCAGACTAGTTACTCCCAAAAGCTCGAGAGCTTGCGCGATTATACGTGCCTCATTAAGAATAGTGGCTTCCTCCGTGTGTGGTAGAGAGTAAGAGAGAGAGAGAGAGAGAGAGAGAGAGAGAGAGAGAGAGAGAGAGAGAGAGAAGAGAGATGCATGCTCGGAAGCCATTTCTCTGATACTAATAAATGGCGAGTCGTAAAATTAAGTTGGACCAAAAATTCAGCGTTAAATTAGCTCACATCGCAAATGCGAGTTCAAGAAAACGGGTGCAACGAACGACTACCGTTGATTAATCGTTCTTGTTAAAACGCAGATTTAATAAGATTTGGAATAAATCAGTAATGCTCGAAGTAAATTGATTTGTATCATTTCCACTTAATGAGAGAAAAGCTCCAATGAATAAACGTTGGTAATTTTCAAATTTTATTCTCAAGCTCTTCTTAAAACGTATAACACCGATCGATCGAGCGACAAATAATCTAGAATTGGATTGAACTATAGTAAAATTGCTACTTTGCGTGAATTAATGTCAACGATGACTCGGTGGCAAATAAATTGTAATGGTTCAGGTACTATAACACGATACGCGCGTGTAATGCGTGCAACGCCTCGCTCATTTTTCCACATCTAGACATCTAGTCGCATAAAGATCGATGGGATAATATATATGCGAAAAATTCTTGGGAGGATAAGCATCGAGATGATGCGATACGCTTACGCATTTTCTATAAACGTCAATAAATACTCAGCCAGATACGCCAGTTAATAAAGTTTAGTAACGTTCATGCGGGGGGATATCGTGGTCAGCCCACACACAAGATTATACAACTGGCCGAACGCGTGCATGAGCGCGCTTGTAGTTTTTCAAGGCGGAGCGACAAAGAAATAAGAGAAAAAAAGAAGAAGATTTCAAACACCTGCAGCACAAATGTAAAGTAGCGAAGAGAAAAAGAGACAAGACGAAGAAGAAGCAGCAGCGAGAGCAAGAATAAGTGGATGAAGCGCTGGAGGCACGAGTTATTTACCAAGTTTCAGGACAATACCGGAATGAGGAACTACGCAAGTGTCGATCACGAGTTTATACACATACATCCCATATAAGCAGTTCGAGTTTGCGCTCAAGGAAACCGTCGATCTTGGAAACTACTTACTCGCTGGCGGTTACGCATTGGGGTGTGTTAGTGTGCATGAGTATGTCCTTAGCCTATACCTAAATATGCCTCTGAGTATGTGTTTGTACCCGTTCGTGTCAAGATTTAACTGCGCATGACGTGATAACTTGAAAAATATTTTTAGTTCCAAGTAATTTTCGTAATATCTAGACATTTTTGTAATTCGGGCATCAGTTATTTACGTGGAATTTGGTGGCAGTTAAAAATTTTCCAAAGAATAAAAAAATTATAAATTTCTGTAGAAAATAAATTCAGTTTACGCGTTAAATTTTATGCACGACTTGCAGCATTGCGAAACTTGCCATGTCGTGAGTCACGAATTTGAAATGATCGACGTATGAAAGTTGTATACGAATTTCTTAAAAATCGATAGTTTCATGAAAAAACAACTCATTCGTTGGACCATATCACCACTGAATAATTCCGAAAATGAATCAGAACACGTCACGTCTTTTTATAATATTACTAATATGCATTTTCCTTCATTCTAGTAATTACGATCGTCCTTTTTTCCTATTTTTTCAATATTCAAATAAATAATTTTCTTTTTTTCAGCTGTCGGCAGAAGACACAAATTAAACTCCTTGTTAGAAGCCAGACCTAAACAATTCAAGTACATGGTTTTTTTGCAATACACGAAGGATCCTTACATGTGCGGGGCCAGCATCATAGGCGAACAGCATATACTGACAGCTGCTCACTGTCTTATCGGTGAGGACGACAAGTTCTACAATCACCACTACAGTGCACTTTTAGGAGCTACTCGGGTACATAAGAAAAGCGACGAGATCCTCAAAATCAAAATTGAGAAAATTTACGTTCCATCAAAATATTCTGTTCTCAATTCGTATCCTAAGAAACCATTACCGCTTAGAGGAGACATAGCAGTGGTCAAGGTAAATTAAGATTTGGCAGCCAAGTGACTCGATTTACAAGTAAATATTTTTTTAGCTCTCGAAACCCCTAAAACTATCAAAACACCCTCAACTGAGTGTATTGAAGCTAGCCGAACCAGGCAAGTCGTACATCGGTCAGAAGGCAGTCATCACTGGCTACGGCATAAACATTCCAAGCGTACTACATAATTACCAAACAGGTGCCCCAGAGGAAAAGGGAATTGCAGATGGAAAACTACGTTTCGCTAAAGTGAATATTCTCGATTTGGAGGAATGTAGAAAGGCCTACAAAGATCACCCTATAGATGATAAAACCATTTGCGGCCAAGTTCAGCAATCAAGTGATAAACACGCCGAAGGAACTTGCAAAGTAAGTTCCTGTACTTTTTAATTTTTTTGGAAATGAAACATCGACTATTCAACATAAAACGGGATCTTTCAGGGTGACAGCGGAGGGCCACTTGTAATTAACGGGGACACGGTAATCGGTGTATTGTCATCGAGTGCGCTTGGCTGCGAAGAAGACGTAAAGCCTGCTGTTTACACCGCTGTTGGAGATTATCTAGAGTTCATTAAAAATGCCATGGCCGACGTAAAATCACCCAAAATTCGCACGGCTACTTGGAAACAGAAATTGGGCATTGGAAGTTGGACTTGGACTACACATTTGGTAGAAGATTGATTAATGGACTTAATAAAAAAAACGTTCAATTAACTTAGTTTGTGTTACTATTCAAAATTTATTGATGGATAAAAAGTCATTCATTTCATGCATAATCACTGCTACATCACAACCCTCATTCGTAGCTCAAGGTTTGTGAGTCGATAACACATGCAGATGCGGATAGGAACTTGTATAATGTATGTACTATGTAGCAACGACGACAGAAAAACAGTAGTAAGCCCTTCGAGCAATGAATTTTCGATGTGTCATCGCTCCGATTTCATTAGTCGCGCGCGAAGCTTTCAAATAGTTGCTCCAACGCTATCACGAACCGGTTTTGAGATTATCATTGATACTCTCGCATATGACCCAGGATGTCACACGTATACACTCGTTATCGTCGTTATATTTATTTTTTTTCATATTTCAAAAATTTCCATCGAAACGAGCGCCCTAATATGCAAGTGTCTAGTTGCATGTTGGGCGCCATCGGCTGATGTTGCACAACACGCGGCGCGAGCAGTTGTAAAACGGTATAATTTGTGAAAACAGCGAAACACAACACTGCACAGTACACACTGAAAAATAATGATAAAAAACAGAATATAAAAAATAAAAAGAAGCTCACTAGACCGTACACAGACGAAGGAAACACAGTGAAATCTCTCGCTTTAGCGCGAGAAAAACACGATGTTAATATATATCTACCAAAGCCACGACGTCCTCTCTCTCTCTTCCTCTCGTAGTTGCACACAGGTTAATTGGTTGAATATCGCTAATTAGCAAACGCGTCCGTTCGCTCGCGTGTATGTGTGGGTATGTATCGAAATATAATGCCGGCTCCTGCACAGCTTCTCTCGCTCTCGGTGCGGCTTCTTCTTCTCTTTTTCGTGGATTCGTAAATTGACTCACGTTTCGACCTAACTGTGTTCTGCTTTTTATATCTCTCATCTTTGCATTTATTACGAAAAAAAAGCAGAAGCCCTCGTTCGATCCGCTGTATGGTCGAAGCTCCGTCCGGGATTATTGCGTATAAAACTAGCGCGCGCACTCGAGAGCAGTCGGTATAAGCAAAACGGGGGATGTAAAAATGGGGAAAAATCCGTAAGTAGCCTTCTCGTACACACATATCGAGGGAAAAAAACAAGGAAGGATTTAGTTCGTAACATTTGCATCTCTCTACTGCTGCTTCTGTTGCACTTGTGCATGTGAGCCACACGCGCATTCGACCCGCATCAAGACTCGCACAAATCCGGGTCAGAGGTTGAGAAGCGGGAGCTGTTCTTTTTCTCTCTCGTTCTATGCGAGCGTATGCGAAATCGATATCTAGCGGTCGAGCGTGCGAGATTACTCGCATGTACATACGTATTTGCACGCAAAAGCGGCAGTAGCTCGAAAAAGAAAAGAAAAAGAAAGAGAAGACGAGGTATAGATCTAGCACAGGTGTAAAACTATACCGAAGAGCCTTCGAGTATTGCTCTTTCGCGTGTATTATACGCGTGTTAAGACATTGACGAGGGACTCTTATATGCGCGGGAGCGTGTAAGGATTGGTGTCAACTCACGATATTCAACGACGACGACGACGACGACACACAAGAGAAATGATAATGAAAAGCTGCGCCTGACCCGAAGCTAAAGTTCATCACTCGGCGAAGCGCGCAGCGATATTTCGCGTGGTAAACGAGGACGACGCCGCCGCCTCGACGCTACCTCAAGATTATATTGCTCGAGCGCCAAGTTTAATACTTCGAAACAGCACTTCAACCATGGCACGTTGAATTTAGATTTCAGCGGCACGAGGGGGGAGCGAGCGAGCTTTGCGAAGCTGCGGCGCAGCGGAGTAAGCGCGTAAGCATTTATACTCTGTCTGAAGAGAGAGCTTTATTAAAGAAGATACATACATTTTGGAACGTGCAAGTTTGCGCGAATAATGGAGTGTTTATGCGGTAAATATAATCCCGAACGATGAAATTGCTACTGGCTGCGCTGCTGCTGCTGCTGCTGCTGCACTTGCAAGAATAATAACTTGACTGAAGATTCGTGAAAATTCTCATCCTCGGCAATCTCCGATCGGACTTTGATTCGTAGAAAAGTGCATTATTTTCCTTGGTGAGCTTTTTTCTTTTCCCATCCCTCTTTCTCTGATTTTGCATTAAATCACTTAATGTTCTGTTCGAGCGAGAGAGGAAGAGAAGGAGAAAGAGAGAAAGCAGCCAAGCCCTATATATCAAAACTTCATTTTATAAACATACCATGTCAAGTCAAGGAGACTGACAGCATCTAACGGGAATTATATAGCCAGTTAGACACGCGCGCGGATCCTCTCTCAGTGCGCGCACATGTAGAAGGGCGGCGGACGCCCGTATCACAATGGCGAATCGTGACTTCATGTGCACCTGCAGCACCGCACGCGCGCGCATCTATCCTGTGTGTATACGTATACAGAGCAGCTCGGCATAGTAGTAGTTCCGAACAATGAATGAATTTGTCATAAAGCTCGAGAAAGCCCGTTTAATTGGTCGAGAAACAATAGATTGGACATTATTTTGTCATTTTTTACCGAAAAAAAAATTTTCACCTCATCGCCGAGAGTTTATTATATATAAGAGAGTGAGTCCAGGTTATACAATATTAAGTTGTATACACCCGAGAACACAAAGCTGCCGCAGAGCCGCGCGCGTGTGTATTATAGTTACGGCGGAGGAAAAAAAAACAAACGAAAAATTCGCGTTCGTGTATGAGACACGATACAATAGACGCGCGCGCGCCGAGCGAAGATTAATTAAAATACAGTAAACGCGCTTGCAACAAAAGAGAGCTCGCGGAGAAGCGCAAATACGACGTATAATATTGCACGAAATTTAATTTTCTAATTGGTAACTCAAAACTTAGGTGTATACACAGCTGAAAAATTAAAAGTTTCGAACGAATATACATATTTTGCTACTACGATCGCGATAGCTGCGTGATTTCTATAGTTCCTCGTGTGTATAAGCAAGTGAAAATTACGGTGTATTAAAAAGCTGTCGCAAGCTGCGTGTCCTTTTTCACGAGCGCCGGTGCTTCGCGTCGCAGCTTTTTTCCCCCCTACTACTCGTTATTGGTTAGGGGGAGTGATCTCACTCTCTCTCTCTCTTTCCCTCCAGCTCTTTTTCCTCTCTCTAACGCATTAGCAAAAATGTTCCAGCGCGCTCGTTACCACCCGGGCGCGCGCGTGTACACACGGGTGTACACAAGATCATTTAATTTCCGGGTACTCCACCAGCGACGCCGCCGCTGCCACCGCCTGTTTCTCTTTCGCAGCTATATATACGTGTATGTGCATTATGGCGCTCGTAATATGCGGCAGGCGCTTATGCAATCAGGTGGTAATACATTTTGGTTACATCAGCGGCTCGCACGCGCGCGCAACACGGCGGCTAAAATCCGATAATAATCATTAAAAAAAGGCGTATATTTTAACGAAATAATGTAACATTTAATAATGCTCGAGTTTGTGGAATTTTCATCGTTGGATCTTTGCTGCTTTATCCCAGGCACGAGGCCAGCCCAGGTCTTTTAACTGCGCGCCTGGACGCACAAGGGCATTTTTAATTATGGAGCCTCGACCATATTTACGTAGCGCATGAAAAATACATCCGTCTAATGGAAGCGTATGACGCGTAGTGAAAATTTCATACATTCAGAGTGCAGGTTGTTTCGGGTAGTAGTAACCTAGACAAGCTAGAGAGTAGTAGTAGTAGTAGTAGTAGTAGTACACGGTTACACACGAAGCCAGAGGGAGGCAGGAGGTATCTGCATATAGCGCGCGGCGAGAGTGTATATACACGTCTGCATTAATCATTACGCGTAAGAGAGATAGGGAGAAATGAATGGAAAGGGAGATGTGGGAGCAGCAGCAGCAGCGGCGGCAACGCGACCGTGGAGCCACTAAATAATGATGAATCAAGTGGTAATTTATGAGCTTTCCATTGACTGCGTGCGTGCACGCGGTTAAAAAAAGCTCGCTTTCAAGTTTCCAGCTACATTTTTAATTCGAGCTTTCGAAACTAATTTACTTCCGTTGGATCGTCCCTTGACTACTCGTATAGAAAAACGAATACGCATCAAACGCTCACCGAGAATCGATAATATTTTTTCTTCCGGAACGCGCGCACATATAGAACAAAAAAGTCAAGTTTGTTCGAAGTTGTAATTCTTTCATCCGATTTTTCAAGCTTACAACCACTACCTGCTTTTATCAGTTATCTTTATTTTCGCCGATCTATCTATCGGCTTTTTGTGTTGATCTTCCGTACGCTTGAAGGGAACCATGTCTCATTGTTTTTTCCCTCAACATGCCTAACAAATCGGCCTGACGTGCCAGTAGGAAAAGAAAGGAGAAAAACTGTAAGAAAGAAGGACGGAGAATCCACCCTAATTGGTCATTAGAAGAAACTCGTTATTCGCGTTTAAAAGAGTGAGGGAGAAAGAAAAAAGGCTAAAGCAAGATTTTTAACACTGAAAAAGAAGCCCTTTTCTTCCATCTTCTCTTGCTCTCCCTTCCAGCGAATAACTGTGCAGCGGCAAGCCGCGCGCTGCTCCTCTCATGTTGCTGCTCCGGCTATTGTGATGCTGCTCATGATCCTTTTTGCGCAAAGCGTGCTGAATGCCGCAACTACTGGACTTTCGGAAGAAACAGAGGGAGGGAGAGAAAGAGAGAGAATGAGAAAAAAAGAACGTTTAGTCTGTTGTTTTATTCCGTGGAAGAGGTAGCGCCTCCTTTCACTCATCCTCTTTTTCTCTGTGTCTGTGTGTCCGTGTGTATTATTCTGCCCGTTATACTTTAGCGGAGATGAAGAAAAAAAAGGGAGCTTTTGTTTATGTACGTGTATACTATCTCTGCTGCAGTCTCTCGCTCGGGACAATGTATACAGTCGCGGGACATAAAGAGAATTAAGGTTTTAACAACGTGCGTCCAAGAAAAACGTTTTGAGCCACACATAGAGCACAAGACTTTTTGCACGCGTGCCTTTTCCACACAGACAAATACATGCTCTCGCG